TCCATTCTCTTCTCCTCTCTTCCCTTCCCTTCCATTCTCTCCTCTCCTCTTTTATTCCATTCCATTCCATTCCTTCCTCTATTCTATTCTATTCTATTCTACTCTACTTCATTCCATTCCATTCCATTCCATAGTTTCTGTTTCTATTCTATTCTACTCAACTCTACTCTTTCCTTTCCATTCCCTTCTCCTCTCTTCCCTTCCCTTCCATTCTCTCCTCTCCTCTTTTATTCCATTCCATTCCTTTCTATTTATTCCATTCCATTCCATTCCATTCCATAGTTTCTGTTTCTATTCTATTCTACTCAACTCTACTCTTTCCTTTCCATTCCCTTCTCCTCTCTTCCCTTCCCTTCCATTCTCTCCTCTCCTCTTTTATTCCATTCCATTCCTTTCTATTTATTCCATTCCATTCCATTCCATTCCCTCCTCTATTCTATTCTATTTCCATTCCATTCTCTTCTCCTCTCTTCCCTTCCCTTCCATTCTCTCCTCTCCTCTTTTATTCCATTCCATTCCTTTCTATTTATTCCATTCCATTCCATTCCATTCCCTCCTCTATTCTATTCTATTTCCATTCCATTCTCTTCTCCTCTCTTCCCTTCCCTTCCATTCTCTCCTCTCCTCTTTTATTCCATTCCATTCCTTTCTATTTATTCCATTCCATTCCATTCCATTCCCTCCTCTATTCTATTCTATTTCCATTCCATTCTCTTCTCCTCTCTTCCCTTCCCTTCCATTCTCTCCTCTCCTCTTTTATTCCATTCCATTCCATTCCTTTCTATTTATTCCATTCCATTCCATTCCCTCCTGTATTCTATTCTATTCTACTCTACTCTACTCTAGAGTAGAGCTGGACAAACGCAGGGGTTCAAGTAACACCCCCCAACGAAAGAAGACTCAGAGCCTTAAAGTTCCTCAAAATTCCATTTTATTAGAGAGGTCATATTGGCACATCATCGCCCCAACCGCCCACCCGCACACCTTGTTTTCAGCCTGGACATCCTCCTGCAGAATACTGCCAGCCCAAATGGCTCCCCCACACCCCCTTTTGGTTGGCAGGGTGCTGCAGAAGGCATCCGTCCCATTCCCGCCCCCCCCCCTCCCCAGCCGGCCCACGGAAGAGAGAACTACAATGCTCCCTTGGTTAGACAAAACAGTACATGGAAAATTAGAGGCTGAAAGGATCCCATTGATAATTTATTTATAGTATTTTCTTTTCTCCTCGACCCTGGGCCCTCGTGAATTTCTTACTAAGGCTTTACTAAGCAATGGCAAAACTGTGAAAATGTGCACACCTATAAGCTTACCTTTTTCTAAAAGCATGTGCAAAGCTTTGCATCCGTATCTCTGGATCTTTTCGTTATCCGGGAAGGAATCCATGGCATCAAATAACAATAAAAATATATCGGTCCCTTCTTCTAAGAGAAGGAGTGTGATTTCATCTGAATGGATACAAGAAAAACTCTGCAAGTGATTCCCTTACAGGTATTCTGTTCCTTTTGCTTTGGTCAGTACAAATCTATACACTCTGACTCAGAAATCAGCCTCTGGGCAGGAAGAAGTATTATTCCCAGAGAACAGGTAGCCCTTCGCTTATGACCACAGTGGAGCCCAAAACTTTCATTGTTAAGTGAGATAGTCGTTAAGTGAGGTTTGCATTGTAGTCTATTGTAGTCTATTGTATTGTATTGTATTGCATTGTATTGTACTCTACTCTATTCCATTCCATTCCATTCCATTCCATAGTTTCTGTTTCTATTCTATTCTATTCTATTCCAATTTCTACTCTACTCTATTCTACTCTATTTCCATTCCATTCCATTCTCTTCTCCTCTATTCCCATTCCATTCTCTCCACTCCTCTCCTCTTCTCTTTTATTCCAGTCCATTCCATTCCCTCCTCTATTCTATTCTATTCTATTCTATTCTACTCTACTCTACTCTATTCCATTCCATTCCATAGTTTCTGTTTCTATTCTATTCTACTCAACTCTACTCTTTCCTTTCCATTCCCTTCTCCTCTCTTCCCTTCCCTTCCATTCTCTCCTCTCCTCTTTTATTCCATTCCATTCCTTTCTATTTATTCCATTCCATTCCATTCCCTCCTGTATTCTATTCTATTCTATTCTATTCTATTCTATTCTATTCTATTCTAT